GCCATTGGTGCTCGGCAGGTCACCAAAAGGTAGAGCAGCACTAGTACTGGCACTCTGCTGCATATGAGAATCATCATGCAATTGTACCACCTCAACAACCTGGGAATGGGGTTGAGTATGCCTAACCTTAGCAGGGATCTCTACTCCATTGTCTGAACTATCTGTCAGGTGCTGCTGCTGTCTACAGATTCATATACTGAGGCAGATTCTGTCAGTGAGGCTTCCCTTTCACTCTCATCTGACATGGTCAGAATCCTGTAGGCCTCTTCACTAGAGTACCTTTGTTGAATATTTTGACCAGTGAATTTATAGGTACCTAGTACAACTCAAAAAAGATTTTAATGAATTGAAATGTGGTTGATATACAGTACGTTATTACATTTTTTCATCATTTTATGTTACCCAAAAAATTTCAAGACCTAAAATGACCCTGTCTCCAATGATAATTGTATGTATATTATACTGTATATAGTGTGTATCAAATCCTTGTGAAAAAACAGACAAACTGTGCATTTATCATTATAGCATTTGAGCAATTTATTTCCCAGTTGTATACACTAAAAAAAGAATTTGCTAACAATTTTAATCAAAACTTTAATTATGCAAACAATGTGCCTTACAACTAGATGTTGTGTTTCCAAAATTACTTTTCCTGTTACAAAGATAAATGATGCAGTTAGATCATAAAACTATTTTCAGAGGAGATGACACTTTGTAGACTGTTTGATGTGAAATATTCTGTGTTAATGATCTGAAGAGGAAGTATGTAAATAACACTTACTATGCAGACTATGATATGCTTATCTTTTTGACCCTCTGTACTGCATACTCCAAACAAGTAGTCATCATGGTGTCACAAAACCTCCTATAACCCCTCTTATGGTCACATTAAGGAAGCCTCACAGTTCATTAAATTTAATTCAAAGAAAGCTGCTTCTCACTAGATTAATAAAAGCACTTAAAGTCACAGTAAACTATGTATGAGATCATAATTTAAGCTGTGCATAAACAGCATTTCATATGAACTTTAAAACTGATCTCTAGATAAAACATATATTAAATTTAGTTATGGGCAGAGAGAAAAGGATTAGATGCTTTTGACAGGTTTTAAATGTTGCGTTTGTTTTGTGTTCTGTTCTGTCTGGCACCTGTCACCTGATTAGGAAGCATAAGGACCAAATAATAAGAACCTAAAGAGGTACTTATCCTTTCCTGTTGTAGCATCCTCCTAGCTAGGTTGCTACCAGTTTGAGGGAAATTTAGTTTTTGGATCCCCTATAACACAAGTGGCAACTGGCAGCCCTCCAGCTGTTGCCAAGCTACAAGTCCCATGAGGCATTGCAAGACTGACAGTTACAAGCATGCCTCCCAAAGGCAAAGGCATGATGGGACTTGTAGTTTTGCAACAACTGGAGGCCCGCCAATTTGACACCCCTGCCCTATAGCCAGTGGAGTGAAGTTTGACTTTTTTTAGCTGTTCTGGGTCCTGCTGGTGCAGGCTTGATTGCTTTCTCCTGAATTTGTGGCAGGTTCCAGAATTTAGTGGGTGGAAGAGGCAGACCCTCACTTGCATATTCCTACAGCCTCAGCCCCTTGCAGGGAGAATGGCCAATAGGGGGCTGAGATGTGTAAAAATAGGCTGTGGCCTGGAACAGCAGGGATCTTGTCCTGTGGAAGATGTCCCACCAGATGGCTGAAGTTTAGAAGAGCCATCTGGGCCCAGCTCCAGTCAGAGGTCAGGTTTTACCTTCTCAAAGGGGTCTTCTGAGATATAGTTCACTATCACTATTTTCAAGAGGTTGGCTGCACCCTGAAGAGATGAATCAGTTAGCTGTGTCCTTCATTTTCTTTCTTACTAAGTTTTGAGTATCCCAAGGCTCATCCTGCACCCTACCCAAATTGAATCAGCATTAAAAAAGTAAAAAGATATGCACTGCCTGAATCTTGAGTTGAGAGACTTCCCTGGGTACCTGGCTGGCCGTGGATTATACCAGCTACCCTTTCCATGCAATTAGGGCTGGAATGATTGTTTCTGGGATCCCTTGACATACTGTGCATAGTGGAACTATTATCCTGGAGCAATGTGTTATGTGCAGGGGGTGAATCCCAGCATATGTGGGGTTAAGAAACGTTATTTTATGCTACAGGTTAGCTGGCATCAACTATTGTTTTCTGCAATTAGGTTTAGGTGATAAGCTCTCACTTTGTTTAACCACTTCCCATCCGGCCCATGTACATAAACAGCTGGAAGGGAGCAGTGCAGGAGCAGGTTGCCTTTCATAAACGTCGCCCACATATACAGCCTGTGCACGCTCCCTGAGAGCGTGCGGCACCGCGGTCGCTGTACGGGACCTCTGTGTGAGGTCCTATCATGTGATCACTGATTGGCCACTTGCTGACATCATTGCTTACTACTTACTAAATCTGTGAATGATCACAGAGGTCACATGGTACAAGGCTATTCACAACAGCCTTGTACCATGTGACAAGCTGTGACCAATCACAACTCTCACAGTATTTCTCAATGGCTGGAAGAATGCAGTCAGAGAGAAAGAGAAATGGATTGCTTTTACAGAGTTTATGGGTGTAAAAGCAATAAGTGTAAAAAAAAAGAAAATCTTCATCACCCCCACAAGTAGTACAGTATGTAAAAAAAAAAACATAAATAATATAAAAAAATTAAATAAAAATGTAAAAGAAATGTTTAGAGATTTATGAAGAAATATTATTTATTTGCAAAATTTTATAAGAAAAACACTTTTTTTTTTTTAAATTTTTGGACATTTTTCATTTATATAGCAAAAAAAATAAAAATCTCAGTGGTGAATAAATACCACCAAAATAAAGTTTTATCTGTCTCAAAAAAATGCTAAAAAATTCATATGAGTACAGTGTTGCAGGACAGCGCAATTGTCATTTAAAGTGTGATAGCGCTGAAAGCTGAAAATTGGCCTGGACAGGAATAGGGTAAAAGTGTCAGGACTTGAACTGGTTAATCACCTCCAGAGTCCAGACTGTTGGGTGCCAGGAAGGAATATGTTGTTTTCTTGTGTTTATTTATGTAATTTATTTTCTCCTGGGACTTGTAATATATACCATACCTGTCTAGGGGTAAGGTCTGTGTTTATTAATGCTGTGCTGTTTGATAATAAAGTCTGTCCTGTTTTATTCCAACATTGGTTCTGTCTGATGCTTTGGGGTAAATTTGATAGCTACAGTCATAACCTAATATACTGGTCCTGTCTGGTAATTAGTTTGGGCTGAAATTGCAATGTTCTGGATCTAGAGTGGAGGAAGCTGTAGCAGGGGCGGACTGACAACTCATGGGGCCCCCAGGCAATAGGGGATCATGGGGCAGTGCCCAAGTTTCCAAATGGTCAGTCCGCTCCTGAGCTGTAGTGTGGCAGAGATACCCAGTTGAGGTGTCAGGCAGTCCGTCACAACTCTGTATACTTATTTTCCTAGGTCTCAGTACAAAACAGTAACTATACTTCAATGAATTTGTCTTAAATTAAATGTAACCTGATCCAAAATATTCCTACTGTAAATTAACAAGGATGTTGAAGAGGGCTTGCAAATACATGTATTAGTTTTTATGCTGAACAGTGTCCCTGGATCCTAAGCCCATTCTGTAGAGTAAGTCTTGACTTCTGCTATAACAGTCATGCAAGTGGGCATGCTATTACTCAATATCTTTTGGAGAAAGAGAAAAGTGGAGGATTGGTTGAAACATTGGTAAGTATTCTATCTTTTGTGGGTTGAACATGATGGTGGTGAATATTTAAATGTGAAAAGTTTAAAGACACATTGAGGATTTTGGATATATACATTATAGCCCATTATCGAAATGGGACATGAGTCAAGAAGTATATAGACCAGGCATTTTAATCTCAAATAAAACAAGTGCTTCTAATGTGGTTTATTTTCCTTGAATCCCATGGCTGTTTGAAGAAAGACGCATCTGGGTTCGACATTGCATTACACGGAGAAGAAAACTACTGTTTTAGATTTAAAATGTATTAATGTTTCCTAGTCATACTTTTGTGGTCATAAAAAAATTGTCAAAGATGTTACCTTAACTCTAAATTGATAACCTGTAAAGACTTTTAAAGTGATACCCTTGGATAATTTTATTTACCAACATATGCATCCATTTCATAGGCATGCACAATTTTAAGGCTTGACATATTTTGTATGTATTTACTTATCACAGCCTCATCTTTTATAAAAAAAAAATGGGTAAATATATTGTGTTTTTGTGCACTCAAATTAACTTTATTGTACAAAATTCACAACAGGCACAAAGCACAAAGTGAGGGAAAAAAAACCCAATGAGGTCACAGGCAGAGATAACAACCTTATACAAAAAGTCCAATGAAAGCACCAAACAAATGTCCAAGAGTCCAAGGTTTGTAATGGTAAAATTGATTCATAGCAGACATAACGCAATAAAACTATTATAGTGCAGTAATTTCCACATATAATGTAATACGTGATACACCCATGCAAAATATAGAACACTGTGTGAATCATATCCACCACTATCCACATTAATTACTTTTACCCTCACAGGGTGAGAATGTGCATACAACTCTCCATCACTAAAATTATCCTCTTAAATAAGAATGTGACCATGCTCCATCCACCTCCAATATGCAAATAGATCAGCGTGCTTGTTCCCTTCCCCTTCGGGCATGCACCTTACCCTGCATACATCGAAAAGTGCTTTTCAATACTCAGTGTAATCTCCACTCCGTTTTCACCTCACCCGCTCTTCATAAACTGTCAATGACCATATGAAAGCAAACATACAAGCCCATAGTGCAGCAGTAGTGTAAAATTACCAATTTAATGATAAAATTGCGCTTACCTGAAAGAGAAGTACAAAAATCCTGAACAAAAATGGCCACCGCGGCACTTCCGGTTACGTCTGACGTCACATCCCTCTGACACATTTCATCATCAAATTGACTTCCTCATAGGCAGTAGACGTCGGACGCCTTCGGACCAGGGGCGGACTGACCATTTGGAAACTTGGGCACTGCCCAAGGGCCTGGGGTCAGTAGGGGGCCCCATGAGATGCCTCTGGTACCTTTTTCATAGGCTTTTTTGAGTTTGGGCAAGGACACAGGGGCCCCATGATCCCCTGTTGCCCGGGGGCCCCATGAGTTGTCAGTCTGCCCCTGCTTTGAACTATGCTTTATACAGAGCTTCCACCCTAATCTTGAAGCCCCATTTGCCATCTGCCTTACTGGACAACCTGCGCTATTACAACACTAAGTGTCAGTCTCCACATAACGTTCCTCCTCTATAAGACAAAACTCTGTACGCTATTAAACCCACACCAGAGTTTAATATCCAATCATAGGGCGCAAACTAAATGTTCCACATGAGTCAATGAATACCCTCTAGGTGTGTGCCAATATACTGCACCCACAGTGGATGTGAACAATTATAGGATCACCTGCCCCCCAAGTGTTCATAAACAAAGTCCCGTAACCAGATATAATTCATCTTTAATCTCCCTCCCCTTCACATAAAATACATTTATTTATTTAATTATTTATTTATTTAATGTATATGGTTTATGTTAATTTATTTTAATTTGATTTAATTGTTTTTCATGTATATTGCAAAATGGAATATACTGTACATGAAACACATTTTTACTGCCATTTGTAAATGCTATAACTTTCACGTAAACCAATTAATTTACACATATTGAGATTTTTTTTTAGCAAAGACATGTAGCAAAATACATTTTGGCCTAAATTTATGATGAAATTAGATTTTTTTAATTTTTTTACTGTGCATGTTTAATAGCAACAAGTAAAAAATATAGTTTTTTTTTCCTCAAAATTGTCGGTCTTTTTTTTTTAGAATAAAAAATGCACAGGTGATCAAATACCACTGAAAGAAAGCTTAATTCATGGGCAAAAAAGGACGTAAATTTCATTTGGGTGCAGCATTGTATGACCGTGCAATTGTCAGTTAAAGTAACGCAGTGCCATAATGCAAAAAATGGCCTGGTCAGGAAGGGCAAGTATAAAGGCAAAAAAAGGTACCTGTCAGTTTTTGCTATCTGTGTCCTCTTACTGTTACCATCGAAAATTAAATTTATTATAAGTACTTATATAGTGCTGTCAATCTATGCAGCGCTTTACTTATATATTGCACATTCACATCAGTCCCTAACCCTCAAGGGGTGTACAATCTAAGGTCCCTAACTTACATTCATACATACACATACTAGGGCCTATTTAGATAGGATCCAATTAACCTACCAGCATGTCTTTGGAGTGTCAGAGGAAACTGGCGTACCCAAGGGAAACCCATGCAGACACAGGGAGAACATGCAAACTCCAGGCAGGTGGTGCTGTGGTTTGGTTGGGATTTGAACCAACAACCCTAGTACTGCCAGGCAGAAGTGCTATTCATTTAACCACTGTGCTGCCCCATAGAAGAAAATCCCAAATTTTGGGTTTCAATTAATAGAGGGGAAATCTTCCAACAATCTAAAAATTAAATTTTTTTTATGTCTAGCATATGTAGGATTACTAATGCTAGACGTAAAAAAAATTTAACTTTTAGATCAAACGTGACACAAAAAATATACACCATTAGAAAATGTATTTCATGTCACTCCAATTTCATGACTTATCTTTTGAAATGTCCTTGTGGGCTCCAATATGTGGGGTGTACCACAAGGAAGCTACAAATAAGATTAAGGTCACCAACATTAAAAAAAGAAAGAAGGAACATAGCTGTCAAAACACTTTAGAGATGTACACAGGTGTGACCCCACATTGTTGAGGTTTTGTGCCATTGACAAAGTTGGAGCACATTGGAGGGGTAATAATCGCACAAGGGAAATTTAAAAAAATTAAAATCTTCTGGATATATGAGCTGGATAGTATGCACCCCAAGGCCTAATTATAGAACAGGATTTGAATTGCTTCATCTCCAACTCATAGGTTATCATTCGGGGAATCCAATTAGGCAAATGTTAGTAGTGAGGACAAGTTTGTTTTGTTTCAGATCGGACATGCCTGTCCTTCCCTTTTTTTAGATGCACTTATGATTCATATAATTGAATGAACATTATTGGTTCATTAAATATTTTAATTATTTTAATTTAATTTTAATTTACTTTGTAATAAAGATTTTATATCTATATGCTATAATGTGGTAGAGACTATAAGGATACCAACATATTCTAAACAGTCAGTGTTTACAAAACTGTTATATTTAGCTTCATTAGCATTATTTTGATTTACCACTAGATGGCAGATGTTTTAGGGTCTCTTCATATATCTATGTAGATAATAATGATTAGAACAAATCAACTGGGTTACATGGGATGATATACTAACCTAACCTTGTTGTTGGATTGTAAAAGGACATTGTTTTAGGAATTCTAAGGACATGGGGTTATAGGACAGTAGGTTAGTGCTGCATTCAGATGTCTTTCCAGGAAGTAAGATGGAGACCATGGATGCAGGATGTGGGCAGGATGTTGTATAAGTAGAAGTCCGGAGGGATCTGATGCCTACTGCCTATGAGGAAGTCAATTTAATGATGAAACATGTCAGGCGGATGTGACATCAGACACAACCGGAAGTGCCACGGCGGCCATATTGAAAATTGGTAGTATGAAGTTGCTTGTATTCCAAATACATGTAAGCGCAGTTGTACATTATTAAACTTTATCTTAAGCAATATTGCACCATGGGAGTATGTTTATCTTTCATGATCACTGAGAATTTGTGAAGAAGTGAGGGCAGGTTGATACTTGATTGCAAAAAGGCTATTCACAAGACATGCAGGGTAAGGTGCATGACTGAAGGGGAAAGGGATCAAGCACATTGTTTTGGCTTTGTACACTTTGGTAGATGAAGGACAGATACACGTGTTGTGGATTTGATTCATAGTTTAGGAGTTAAATGTGCATTTTCACCCTTAGAGGGTTTGGATCAGCACATTGGAAGATCACAGAGATAGAGAGATTGTATGGCATACAACACATTCTGGCTAAGGAGATTTAGATGGGAAGATAGGAAGATTGGAATACGAAGTGGTGCACTGTTGCTGGCATAACAAAGACTAGTTCTGGTGACCCTAGTGACACCCTGTCAGAGCCTGGGATCGAACCTGGTCCTTCTGCAGTGAGAGGCAATGTCTCTTCTCACTGAGCTATCTGGAATGCTGGACAGCTCCCTTGACAATTCTTGGATAATCCTGCCTTGTGCCTTGATTACTCTTGAACCTTGAACTCCTTGCTCCTCCCATGAACTTCCTTATAAAAGCCATGTCCATGCACTTCCTCCTTGCCAGATTATTGTGCCTTTCCAGCCAATATCCCGCTACTGTTCCTGCTGCTGTCTACACCTCCGCTACTGACCTTTGGCTTGTTCCTGACCACGATTTCGTCTCATCCTAATGTACTACGATTGATCTGCTACCATTTGTGACCGACCCTTGGCTTGTGACTGACTCTGCTTTCGTCTGATCCCTAACCTGTTGATCCGCTATTGGTTCCCAGTCTGCTCATTCCCTGGTGGGGTGATCCTGAGATCTGCGACCTGGTATTAACATGCAGCCCAATCCATCTCCACCATTAGGAGCTCTGGTGAATACCGGTTAATACTTAGACCCCGCACCTCAGGTGAGCCTGCGTCATTCCCAGGGGAATCCGCTGGTGTACCTATACTGCTGGTTTCAGGTAAGCCTTTTACTGCTATAGCAACTGGTCTCTGAACCTGACCTTATATCGTGACACACCCTCGCTTTGGATGGATTTCCTCTTACTTCCTGTTGTTTTTTTCTATGGGACAGGAAGTAAAGGGAAATCTTCCCCAATGGGATATGGAAAAAAGCTGACAGGGGTTATAATCATTCCTTACTCTATCCAAAATGGAAAAAATTGCCTTTAGTTATACTTTAAATGCAAGCAGCATAAATACCTGGATTTGTTCTGTTATCAACTTTTTACAGTCCTTGTACAGCAGAGCTCAGCCTGGGAGAGAAATAAGCAGGATGAGGAGCTAATCAGTTTATGTGCTGATAAAGAGCATGCTGATAAAGGGGGGAAGCAGTGTGACAAAAAGATGAGCAATAACACACTGGGGCAGATCCATGGCAGCATGGTCATCATTTAACCTAGAAGACTGAGGATATTTAGGCAGAGAAGGTAGTACTGTGTGGACAGCTATGGATTAAAAGTCAGAATGGCAGAAAAAGTGTTTTATTTGTATCTTTTAATAGGATGCTCTTTTACTGGTGTTCTGCTTTAGGTCCAACATTTCTAATATCTAAAAAAAACAAAGAAAATATTGCATTTGTGATAACAAAGCATAAAAACACAATAGATCCTGGCCTCTTCCCCAGTTGGATAAAAATATATGAGGTAGCCATGTTTAAGGGCCCTACACAATTTTCTATTGGCAAAGATTCAATACCCCTTTTCTTGTCAACCATTGTGGCTAACTGAAAGGGTTAATAGTTAACTAACCTTTGCTTTTTGCTTACTAAGCAACTTTTATTTTCATAAACAGAATGTTCTCTGGGGACTAGAATGTGTGTTATCTATAAGTGTCCTCAGCCATTAAGGTTTTGCAGAACTTATATCTCACCATATGGTGAGTTATTGTAACATCTATAATGAACTCTGATTGATGCTTTATGGATATATAAGTATTCAATGTTATCTCTGTATTTAAGCTTAAACAATAAGACTTTGAATTCTGCATTTCACACCTCAGTGTCTGAATAGCATTATTCCCAAAGTACATTGTATCTGTCATGATTGGACGGAGGGTGTGCAGGAACCTGAGTTATCCTAACAGAACTGGTGTCAGAAGTGTGGGATAGGTCCATGAGCATTTTTTGTCTTACTTTGCCCCCGGTTGCCTCCTATCTCGAACAAGTCTCTGTGCTGCGGTAGCTCTAGCAGTTGTCTGCTGGAGCTTTGGGAGCTCGCTGGACTAAAAACCTAGGTTTATTTATAAAAGATTTGTATATGTGCCTCCCTCCAGTCATACAGAATAGTGTGTTAAGTTGCTTATGTATGCTTGCAACTAGAGAAACTGCTAAGTTGATGTATTCTAAGTCTCTAGATGACTGCAAGACACACCACATCCTCAGTGACAGTTCTTTCTGCTGACCTGGGACAGGTGAAAGCATTGTGGCAGTCTGAAAGAGTAAGGATAGGGGTGTATTTGTCCAAGTGATTTTAAGCCTTGAAGCACTTGTGCAGTTGAGAAGAATTTTGTCAGAGCTCTATGTGAGTTCAGTACATCTTCAACCTGCACAAATAGTAATCACCGAGACAGAAGCACATAGGTCTTCATATCACCTTGTATGCTCTGGACACCTCAGATCCTTCAG